ACAGTGATGTTGGATCTCAAGAATAAACCACAATAAGGGTCCATATGCAACCATGGATGAAGCTCTCAGAGAAAGGAGTCGCTAAAAAGACAATGTCGAGGCCAATAGTTGAGAAAGAGTTATTGGCCCACCAAATTGGAGATATTTGCATGATTGTCACCACCGAGTCGAAATAGAGAGATTCCGTACGTTGATGATTCCCAAGATTAGAGATTTTGAGCTCGGTATTTGCGGGCTACATGGAATCCACCCCCCCTCCTCCAATTTAGAATTTGGCCCTTTGCCACTTAGACTTGTGAACTGGTTAGTGGTGTAAGAAATTTAGTGTCGATCAATATAAGATTGCATGGATTTCATAGTTAATTACTGCATGGGACGTGGACGAAATGCCTCTCTCTGATACCATACCGAGTTGCTCGTACCAATTAACTCTTCTTTGGATTAATGTATCTCGTGAAAGAAATTCATCTTCCCACATCTCTTTTTTGTGAAATACCCAAATCTATTATAAAAGTTCACTTGAAGCACAAAATACATCAAACATAATAAAAATTACATCAAGGTGTGTTGACCACCGAAGAACCACTACCGTCGCGAGAACGAGCCGCTAACGTCGCTCTTATACCGCAGCCTCTCTGAAGTTGTTGATGACAAATCGAGAATTCTTCGTGCACGTGCCACTAAGGACTAGTACCCTGGATCCGTTGTCGCCGCCGTTGAACCCTTGAAACGGTTGAAGCACGCATGGCAAGAGACTTCAACCTTGCTGCTCAAAGAAGACTGCATGAATCTACATCGGAGTCCTGTTGGTTCCGCGCCGGTGGACGAATTTGAGTTGGATCGAAGTCCGGAAGACCAACTTGAAGATAAAGCGTCGGCATCCGTCCAAGTGCCGAGCCCCGCAAGGTAAAAAAATCTAACCTCAACTACTAGCCGGAGCCGAGCCACCGGGATTTCCCTCCCCGCCCCTAGCCGCCAGAGCGACACGCAGAGGGAAGGAGTATCCACGAATTGGCCGGTGAAGTTTGAACGGGAGAAAAACTTTACCCTGGCCGCTTTATGGCGAGGGGAAAATAGGTCTGGTGTGTCATAGAGACGTAGAGTATATTTTGTGCCCGTGCAACAACATACACACACACACATATTTTGCACATTATAAATAGGACGCCGATAAGTGCCACACGTGTGGGCGTTAGGGAGTCCGCCCACACATTTTGTGTGGTGTATATGACGAACAGCCCACACATCTACGTGTGGGCAAAACAATTAGCGCCCACACGCCTCTTTTCCCCTCCTGATCCCTCTTACACGCGTGCGTGTGGGCGAAGTTGATAACGCCCACACGCCCGTATTCAGGGCTCGTACCTCCTGGTCCCGCACGCCACGCGTGACGGTCACCGCGCGCCCGCAGTTGCCATGGTCCAGACCCTCGTCCATGCTCGTTTAATTGCAGTTGCCATGTCGCTGAACTACGGTTGCCATGTCGGACAACTGCAGTTGCCATGGTTGCTCAACTGCAGTTGCCATGTATGGTCTGATTTAATGTAGTTGCCATGATTTCATAACTTTAGGAGTTGCCACATACTAACACTAGGCAGTTGAGAGAGTTGCCATGTGCTCACAAGCATGCTAGGGCAGTTGCCATGTAAAAAGGAAGAGTTGCCATCTGCTTACGTGCACGTTAGGGCAGTTGCCATGTACCATGCAAAAACATATGGCAACTCGATAAAAAAGAGTTGCCATCTGCTTACGTGCACACTAGGCAGTTGCCGTATACCCTGCAAAACACATGGCAAACTCGGGTAAAAAAAAGAGTTGCCACCTGCTTATAAAAGCACACTAGAGGCAGTTGCCATGTGCAGTGCAAAAACACATGGCAACTAGCAGCTTGGGTATGGGAGAGGAGAAGGGCGTGTGGGCAAGATGCAAAACGCCCACACACTAGCTCTTGTGTGTGCGTGCGAAGTGACGTGTGGGCGAACTGCTGAACGCCCACACACCAGCCCCTCCTGTGTGGTGAAACGGCCGTGTGGACGACCGGCTGAACGCCCACACACCAGGCCAGTCCTACGTGGCACTAGAAACATGCCAAGATTCGTGTGCTCACGAACGGACGCGGATCCACGCGTGTGGGCGAGAACGGACGCGGATCCACGCGTGTGAGCGAGATGCAAACGCCCACACGTGTAGGCGTTAACATTTCCGTATAAATATTGTAATAATGGAATGTATAATTCAGCTTTTCCGAAGCGAGGAACTCTGCAGCGCCAAAGGCGGCAGCTAATCACCACCACCGATTAATTAACGACGAGTTGGCGACTAGCGACTGCCGAGTTAGTGAGCGAGAGGAGAGGAGATGGATGAAGCAACGGCGATCACGTGGAGGATTCGGCGAGGAAAGTGGTCGAATTCTGCCGTCGAGGCGTCGATCGTGGACATTTCTTTTTGACGCCGAGAGCGGTGGGTGGATTTTATGGCGATGGCGACCCGGGGGCTGCTGTCACGGCGGACGGCGATCGAGCCCCTGAAAAAGCCCCGGTGTTCTAGAATCCGTTGAAGAGTTGGAGGTTTCGGCACACCGCACAAGCTCTTGATCGGGTCGGGTTCTGTGCTGACATGCATACATGTCGCCGTTTTGTGGGAAGATCACAGCTGTTCCAGAAAACGGCAGAGCGTCTAGGGAGCATATCCACAGCTGACGAACGGGAACAGTCGCACGTACGTGTCTCATTTTTTCGTTGGTCGAGGTTATTATTATCCGTATATGTGGATCGATGCAGGAGGCGAGTGCTGGTAGAGAAAACGAACACCTTCACACCGTTCTGTCTTGTATCTAGAAGCAGAACGAGTCGTGACGTGGACCGGATCGGTTTGCTGCAGTGAAACCGGAACGGATGTATCGCGTGTGTCCGTGTGATTGTGTGAGGCGGCTTTCATTTCATGTCGATGAACGAACGAACGGTGTTGCTTTTGAATTAGGTGACCTAATAACTCGCGCTTGCAAGGTGTGCAAAACATCTTTTTCTAAACCTTTGAGGTACCGCACGGTCGGTCAGTTAATGAGGGGCGGTACAGTTAGCAACTCGCAAATCGCAAGCAAGCAACCCCGGTGCGGCGAGGCTTCGAATTTCAAGGCGGTAGGTGCGCACGCGGTGGCTCGCCGTCGCCGAGCGCGCTGGCCATCCACCGACGTCTACACCCCAGCAGCAGCAACCCTAGCCGTGGGGCGATGCACATGCATGCATGCATGCACGCGTCGCACGGCGGGCGACGTGGCAGTGAAGGAAACCAGACAAAATGACGTGACGCGGGCGGCCCATGCCGTCCTCCCTCCGAGGCGACGTACCTTACGTTACGTAGCTCGTCTCATTCCACGCCCCGTCCGCCCGTGCGGACCGTGCGGCCTGATCTGGCTCGATCGTTCGCCGACGTCCATCAACGGCCTCTTCTGTCTCCTTTCGCTTCTCCTCCTTGGCCATCGACCGCTGGACGTGACTCGTGAGGCGATTCGACGGCCACCAGCCCAACTGTTGCGCGCGTCCGGCTGACTTCCGGGAACGTACGCACGCATGCATCAGTTCGCGGGAAGCCGTGGGACGGACGGATGGACGGGCCTGGGCGAGATCGTTCGTTGGGTCGACGTGGCGTGCAAGGCAGAAAACGGTGACGGATGATGTGATGCGGAAATAGCTGACCTGTAGCCACGGAAGAATTGATGGGAGCGGCCGGCAGCCACGGAGACGTTTGATGATGAGATGTTTCTTTGCTGCACGTTTTCCGTTAAGGAAAAAAAGGAGAGCTTTCAGAGCGCACAGTGCAGCGAGGAAGCCCGTAACGAGGCATCAGTCCTTGTCGTCTTCACGGTGTTTTAACTCCGTCGACTTCTCTCCCGCCGAGAGAGAAAATACTGTCCATTTCAGTTTTAGCCGAATGTTGTGATCTTTTATTCCGAGACAGGAGCATGCCGTCGGCAAACTGGACCCTCCCAACGGATGTCAATTTTCGGATACTGACTGAATCGTTATCGGCTCACGAAGCCTCTCCACACATGGGCAACTCTTCTTATTACTTCCTGCCTAGCTAGTATCCTCCTCTACTTATGGTCTTTCTTTTAAGTTTCCTAAATGGGTTCAAAACATAAAATAAGAGCTCTAAAGTGCTTTCCAAAGTGGAGTAGCATCTTTGGAGCAATAGTTTTTCCCCACGACTTCCACGAATGTGATCCTATGGTCAAAATTTTGCAAGCACTCAAAACATTTCCTATTGTATGCCGTATTTTTTCTCTCCAGATTTTTATGAATTATTTTCATATTTTTCTGATTTTACTGTTCATACAGGCTCATTTGAGCCCGAGCTACATGTCCCACTGCTAATTTTCTTGAGGCAATTTGTTTTCCTTTTTTTAAGAGGATCTTGCGTCAATCTGCTTTTTTTAGACAACTGTGGCAATCTGCTGCTCTTTTTTTATAGCAAAATCAGCTCTTTTTTTGAGACAATGGCAAAATCAGCTTTTTTTTAGGGAAATGGCAAAATCAGCTGTTCCTTTGTCCCCTTCGACGTGAGGCCCACACAGCAAATGGAAATGCAGCCTCAAACAGCAGGCTGGCTAAAGACGAGCCATCCATAGCCCATAACCCCGCTAACGGCCCACATACAGAAACAAAATGGAGGGAAAACTTCAGAAGCGAGGGAAAAACTCTTTCCCGTCCCCCAAACGCGCGCGCCACGCCGACGGAAACCCTGGTCGCGCGAAGCCGGCAATGGTGGAACCACGCGCCGGCGCCGGCGCCGCCGCAGCCCCCTCCCCCGCCGCGACCGTCGCACCCCCCTCCCCCAACCAGGTCCGCCCTCCTCGCCCGCCCTCCTGGTACCACTCGATGGACTCGCCGCCACCGGTTCCGTTGAAATCTCTGCGTTTTGACCTCGCAGGGCACCACCGCCGGCGCGAGGAAGCGGAAGGCCCCGGCGACGGAGAAGGCTCCGAGGAAGCCCCGCAAGCGTCAGGTCTGTACTTCACTGTACCCATCACCCGCCTCCCCGCGGCAATCTTGCTTGGTAGTCTCACTCGTCTGAATATTGTGGCATTGCTTGGTACTCTGATTCGTCTGAATGTCGTGGCATTGCTTGGTAGTCTGATTCGTCTGAATGTCATGGCATTGCTTGGTAGTCTGATTCGTCTGAATGTTGGTAGGTTGAAGAACCGATTCAGATCCCTGTGTACTACGGGTGCAGAAAAGGTGATTTTTCAAGCGTGCACGGCGATGATTTAGTTCAAGATTGCCCAGCCATTTATGCAGAAAACATATGTGCGCACATAATCGGCGAGCTGCCGCTGCAGCCACAGTCGATGTCACTGGTGGATCTACAGCTCTGGGTCTTCAAGCTGTTCAGGCTCCATCCAGAAACACAAGATCTCCATATTAAGGGGTTCCTCAAACAGCGCAAGAATGACCCGTATGACGAAGAGGATCCGGACTGGTATTTGGAGTACTACCAGTGGGACACCCATGAATTTTATTCCAACAAATACTGGAGATCCTTTGCCAACAAATTGAAGAAAAAGAGAAATGTGACACAGAAGTTCATGTTGTACGTGGAATCCTCTGAGATCAGGCACTATGACATATTGCGCAAAGCCATAGGTGATGGTTACTCTCAACAGCTGCCGCTTGTGTTGCCTGGGACAGAAAGCCTGACAAGGTGTGAATTCAGCTTCCGGTACCTTAAGGAACACCTGGCAGTTACTGCTGAGGAAATGGCAGTTTATCTCACTGGTCACAATGGCGAGCATGTTACTCCCGCCGAGGCGTGGAGGGCAAGACAGATGGCTCTGGAGAAGGAATTCGGTACCTTTTATGATTCATACAACTTTGCCCCGAGGTTACTCAAGGAAATAGCACGTAAAAACCCTGGTGGTTTTGTAGACATCAAGGATGCAGAGGTTTCAGGGTGTAAGGATTTTCGAGTCCTCCACCGTATATTTTGGGCGTTTGGACAATGCTTACAGGCCTTCGGTGCCTGTCGCCCTGTGCTGTGCATTAAAGGCGCACCCCTATGCGGGAAATATCAAGGGGTGCTGTTGACAGCTGTAGCATTAGATGCTAATGATTTCTCCATTCCAGTAGCATTTGCCATCGTCGAGTGCGAGACAAAGGAAAGCTGGCTGTGGTTTCTTAGGAATCTGGAGCGAGCAGTGGTTGATCAAGCTGATGTCTGCATTATACACGACTACAAAAAGGAGTTGATCGACGCTGTGGAGGATCTTCTGAATTCCCGTCGACGACAAGGGCTGAAAGCAGAAAGCCGGTGGTGCATGGAACACCTTGCTGAAAACTTCTATGCATATTTTGGCGACAAGAACCTGGTGATGATGTTCAAGAAACTTTGTCAACAGAAGCGACAACATACGTTTGATAAACTCTGGAAGGAGCTCGACGAGTTGACATCCAAATATATGACAGAGAAAGAATTTGGTGCTAGTGAGGAAGTGCAGCAGGGGTCAGTCAAGCATGATGAGGCAGAGCTTCAGGAGCAAAACCCATCCAGCCATACTGATTCAGTGGAGGATGGGAAGGAAGGAGATCATGCCGGTGACAGCAAGGGAAAGATAACAAAGTTCTCTGATTGGATTCGTCTGAAACCAATGGAGAAGTGGTCACTGGTGCATGATAGCAACGGAGCAAGATATGGCATCATGGGCACTGATATAACGGATGTATATAAGAACGATCCTGTATTGAAAGGTATAACTTGCCTTCCACTCAGTGCGATGCTGGAGGTGACATTCCTGCGCTTGGAAGAGTATTTCAAAAACACAAGTGCCGCAGCAAACAAAGCAATAGGCAACCCATCAGTCAGCTTCCCGGAACGTGTCCAGGATGACATGAACTCCAAAATGCAGAAAGCCGAGATGCATCAAGTTCTTGGGGGTGAAGAAGCTCTGAAATTTACGGTGAAGTCGGGGCAGAGGCAGGTTACCGTGAACTTGAAGTCGGAATATACCCACAACATGGATAAGTCTAAAGGATCCACAGCTCGAAAAACTGCTACCTGTTCATGCAACAAGCCGCAGCTGCTTCACAAGCTTTGCTCTCATGTCATTGCCGTCTGTTGTCATATTGGGGTTAGCACTGCTGAATACATGTCCCCATACTACAGCCTGACTTGTCTAGGCAGGACCCGGAGTAAAAAATTCAATGAGTTCTCACGCAACTACAGAAAGAATTTGCCACGCTACTACAGAGATATTAGACCATTCGAGCGTGAAACACCAACTTGGATCCCAGACAAAAGATTGGAGTGTGGTTTTCCTGTTTATCTGTTGTCGGACTGCGCACAAACTGCCGTTGTCGTTGAAGAGCAACAGTGCACAACTGAAGATGAATCAGTTGCAGACAATGAAGCAACAAAGGCACGCTCAGAAGAATCAAGAACCTAGCCAAGTTTGAGTTTCTTTTATCATCTGTGAAACTCCAGGCTGTTCATATTTTGGACCCTTAATATGTGGTGGCTGCTGTGCTTTAAGTTATCCCATGTAAACTCTGAACCTCTAGTATTATTTGCAGTACTTTCCATGCTGTCCTGAAAACTGAAGTTTATGTTTCTGTTACAGTTTGTCACTGAATTTCTTGGCTGGTTTATATTTTCTTGAAGCTCTTGTATGCCAAAATGCTAAATCATCCCAGAAGCCATTACTTGGCTGACGGCGTTTCAGGGAATAACATGCATACCAGTTCAGTTGAGAAAATCGTTGTCAGTAGAAGCAGATTCCAGTTATCTTACGTACGAGTATATATAACAAGCACACATACATGCACTCATAATTAACCAACTGCACAGTAGCAAAGCTTGATCGATTCTCCTGATTTTAGTACACACATTATTCTGCATAATTTGCCATGTCGAAGTTGAAACTAGAGCACACGACTCAAGGTGGTACTAGAGTGCCCACTAGGTGGTACTAAAGTTGAAACCGAGCTAGTTACCAGGCAGAGATCTTCATGCCGAGGTCTTTCTGCGCGAACGCGACGAGATTCTCAATCTCGGCGTCTTCAATGTAGCCGCTCTTGTCCCTGTCGGCGTGGCGGAGGGCTCGGCCAGCCCTGAGGGTGGCGAACCAGCAGCCCCGGCGGCGGATGGCCTGGCGGAGCTCCGCCTTGCTGATCCGGCCGTCGCCGTCCACGTCGAACTGCTTCAGCCACTCCTTGAATTGCTCCAGCGTGGTCCCTCCCGGCCAGAGGAGCCACCTCCGCGCTGCCATGGCCGGCGGTGCTTGCAGGCTCAGAGTCAGCTAGTCCTTGACGACTGTGCTACGCAGGTGCATCGATCATGGATGGTTCGAAGCCTCTCGCGGCTGCAGCTCCTTTTATAGTTGGATCGTTACACCCATGTACGATCTCGTGGCTTTATTCGTTTATATCTGCAGGTTGCGACTTGCGAGGGGGCGGTGCTCTGAATCGTATATCTCATTTCTTGGTGGAGTCCGACCTAGCTGAATTTCAGGCTTGTGTCCAACCTAGTCACTACTCACTACACGGAATGCATGCAAGGCTAGTAAGCGCAAGTGTATGCATGCACTGTTCAACTGTAGATTATATTCCTATATGCTTGCAGCGACCAGAAAGCTTATTAGTTAGCTTGAGAATAAATTTGAAGTCGGGGAAGTAGCAATGTCGTAGGGCCCGTGCATGAAAGAGATTCTCCATGACCGAGCAATCCAAGAAGGAAACATCAGGGAGATTTTACCACAATTGCTTAAGGCCTCTTTTGATTCATAGTGTAGGAAAAATCATAGGAATAGGAAAGTCATAGAAAATGAGATGTCATGTATCTCAAATCCTATGAATACGAATAGGAAAGGAGATGCTTTTTGATTCGCATCATAGGATTTTTTTTCATTGAGTCTAGGCTAATGTTTATTTTCCTATGAAATATGAAGGATAGGAAAAATTCCTTCATAGGAATAGGATTCCATTCCTACAAACCAAAGGGCTCCAAAGGAATTTTTCCTATAAAAATCTTATTCTATGAAATTCCTACAAGATTCCTCTAAACCAAGAGGCCTAAGGCCTCTTTTGGTTCATAGGATAGAATTATCATAGGAATAGGAATTTTGTAGGAAATGAAATGACATGTATCTCAAATCCTATGAGTAGGAATAGGAAACAAGATGTCATTTGGTTGACACCAAAGGAATTTTTCCATTGAGTCTAGACTCTTTTTTATTTTCCTATGAAATGTGGAGGATAGGAACCAAGCCTATGTAGGAATAGGAATCCATTCATATGAACCAAATGGCTCTAAAGGAAAAAATTCTATAAGAATCCTATCCTCTAGAATTCCTATAAAATTCCTCTAAACCAAAGAAGGCCTAAGAATGTTCTTTTTTTTTCTCGATGTCATTTGTCATTTCCATGCCACCTGCCAACACTACTATGGAACGGTCCATCAGTGACGGGTCGTCTCTCATCTCCGAACCGCTTGAGATAGGCCTTCATCTCAGGCAGTGCAAGCCTTGAAAACAGTGGCGAATGAACTGGCCAGGCTTTAATAGGCAAAGATCGCAATGCGAAATGGACAGCCGGGCAAAGATCGCTCTACTCATTAGAGAGTTGAGCGATAGATTTCCTCTCTGTGTTGTATTTCTTCAGTAGTATTGAATTCATGCTTCAGGCAACTCATCCAAAAGTCTGAACTGATGGAGGGCGTTGGCAGGGTCTTGAACTCAAGACCTCTTGGCTAGGATACCATATTGAATTGCATGCTCTAGCCAATGCAAGCAAAAGACAGATTTGATGGAAGAGACTAAGCAGCACATTATACGTCAACACTCCCCTTCACGTGTGGCTCCCTCAGGCCTAAACGTGGACCAAAAGTGGGTTGCAATTTAATTACGTCAGCCGGGTTTTGAACTCAAGACCTCTTGACTTTGATACTATGTAGAAGTGCATGATCTAGCCAATGCAACCAAAAAACCGATCTGATGGAAGGAGGTGGGCAATATATTTCAACAAGTAGGGCTCAATCTCTGACGGTTTTGGCTAAGTCTCTTCATATGGAGATGTGTTCACAGCCCAACTGCCGTCTATAAAGTATAAACCCAAAACCATGTGTGGCCGTTGATCCTAGTTCAATTCTAAACACTCTTGCCTGACGCGTCGCAGATATTTCATTAGGTATTCCCATTCTTGCAACAGCCAGCGAGCTCATTGGCTAGCATGGAAAAATTTCATGTGTGGGAAGTAGCAATGTGGTAGGCCTGTGTGCATGAAAGAGATTCTATATTGACTGACCAATCCATGAAGGACACATCAGGAGATTCTACCGCGGTTGCTCAAGAATGTTCGAAGTTCTTTCCTAAGCTCGGCGATCGCCTTGACCTGGTGGTCCATTAGGAAGGAGAGGAACGATCGCCACCGTTCCTGCTCGGTGTCGGTGGTATTCTGCAAGCTCCAGATTGAAGCTGCACTTTGGTCGGACACTGGAAGGAAAAGAGTCCAGTCACTTGCTGACAGATCACACGCCCTGACTAATTTGCTGTAATGCGTCAACTTTTGCTGCTGTTGGTCCTTGGCTGTTTTTATTTTCTTCAGTTTGTTCCAGCCATGTGATCAACTGTATAACTGTTCTATCCTTTCTTAACGCAATGAAAGCAGCGCATAACTGCATTTCGTCCCGTGTGCCTTCATCTCAGGTGGTGCCCAAAACTGTGCAAGGCGAAGATCATTAGAGTTGTGGATGTGGGCTCATTTCTGATGGATTTCACCTTCATATTGTGCGGTGCCTTTTCAGTATGCAGGAAATAATTGCTCAACCCTACCTCTTGTGAAATACAATGGTATGTTTGGTACGAATAATTCTTGAAGGAGAGTGTATCGTTGTACAGCAGAGTAGCATCGTGAAATAACATTTGTTGATGATACGTCGTCAGGCTCATGTCCTAAGACTTGACAGTTCCGTTGGGACACTTGTGAGAACTTCAGTGGACGACTGAGCTAAAATGCTGGAGGAGCGCGACTAGGCAAAACAAATGTAATCCATCAACAAAAAGATGCAGTATTCATACGCCCCTTCCAAATTTTGGGGTACGGTTACGGCATCGAGCAGTCAAAGGAGACGCGGCCATCCCCAGCAGCCAAGACACGGTTACTTTGCTTCTCTATGTTAGAGGATCCCGTTCCGCAGCGAAGGTCCGCAGTCAAAATGCGCAAGCCACGAGTACAACTTGTATATATTGAGCACTTCATGCAACTTTCAAATCTTACAGCAGACACACTCACAATTAAGCAACTGCATACATAGTAGCAGACGTCGTCGTCGTAACAAACCTTGACAAATTCTCCTGGATTTTTACACATAGTATTATTCAGGAGAAGCTTCCATGTCAAGTTGAACGCATCACACGATACTGGGCATTAGTCTGAGCAGGTAACGCTCTAGCGAGGTAGCTAACGGGCAGAGATGTTCATGCCGAGGTGTTCCCGCGCGAAAGCGACGAGGTTCTCGAGCTCGGCGTCGTCGACATAGCCGTTGTGGTCCCTGTCGGCGCGGCCGGCCCTAACGGTGGCGAACCAGCAGCCCCGGCGGCGGATGGCCTGCCGGAGCTTGGCCTTGCTGATCCGGCCGTCGCCGTTCACGTCGACCCACTTCTTGAATTCCTCCACCGTCCACGCACACGGGGCGCTCCTTATCGGCATGGCCTATACTATTTGGTGTTTAGAACCTCAGAACCAGCTTATCTAGTCCTTGCAGCTGGAGACTGCCGAGCTTCTCGCGGTCGTGCCTCCTTTTATAGTCGATCCGGTCCTGGAAGCATCGCGTGACTTTATAGTTTATTCGTTTCTATCTGCAGGCTGCGAGGGGTGTTGATCAGAATCCGAATCTCGTCTCAGTTATTGGTGGGGGGCGGCAAAGGTAAATTTCAGCCTTGAGCATTCGCATCGATCATTAGTTTAGTCGCTACACTTACCGCGATGCTAGTAATGAGCAAGTGCATATGACATCGTTTGACCCTAACTATTTTGGCTGATTTTTTGGATAAAGGATGGATTTTATTAACTCAAAATAAAGTATCAAGGGGATACAAACACAATGAGCACACACCCGACCTCTGCATAGCTAAGATGCACACAGCCAACACTAACACACATATAAAAAATCACACCGGTAAATAGCAAAGTCATACAAGATCCAAGTTATGCCTTGGTGGCGTAAAAAGAAAAAAGAAAAACTCCAAAGTGATCAAAACAATGATCAACAAGTTACAGCAGCGACCATATCCGCACCAACCATTCTTAACATCACAAGTACAATGAAGAAGTTCTCCAATAGCAACACCTTCAGAAAGGGAACAACACTCAAGTGCCGCCATTGCCGGGTCCAACCGCCGAATGTTAGACCATGGGTTTTCACCCTGGAGATCAAGTCCGAGCAATGCCTTCAACAAGGTAACGACACAAAAACGTCGCCATTGCTAGGTATAACCAATTAGAGTTTGACCTTAGATTTTCACCCCGAAGTTCGAGATCGGTACTTGAGAAGCACCACCAAATCGAAGTCACCATGTAATGTCGCCACCACCTTCCGCAATCCCAGCGGCTATATGCATTTCATGGCCTTGACGTGACTGTCACACAAGTGAAGACCATGTTGGCACTAGCAGGCAACTGAGCCGTGACAAGAGCAGGCAACTATTTTGGCTGATGGGACACGGGCGGCTAATTCATTAGAGCATCTTCAGCTGCGTCCCCAAGAGCCCCCCCCCCCCCAAGGCCATTTTTTCGCGTCGGTGCCAAAAAATTGGCCTTGTCGCGCCCTCAGTATCTCATTTATCGCCGGTTTGGGCTGAAATAACAGCCGACGTACCCGAGCCGAACCCAAGCCCCCCGCAGGCGCCTGGGAGGGCCAGCCGAAGCAAAAAGGCGCGTGGGTCCGCTCTGTCGGTGAGACAAAGACCCTTTCCCGACGATCACCCCGCTTTTTCCCCTCCGTTTCCCTCCATCTTCCCCTACTCCCGCCATTCTCCTCCCTCTCCCCTCCATCCGGCCGCCATGCCGCCGAATAAGTACGCCGCCCCTCGCACCGCCACCGATGCCAGCGCCTCCCAGTCGAAGCAGAGGAAGCAGAGGGCGCCGTCGTCCAAGCCCCCGAGCATGTCAAATGCCGACTGGAAGGTGGAGGTTCAGCGCCAGGAGGCTGTCACCACCGACCGGCGGAACAGGCTCAATGCCAAGAAGGCCCGAATAGAGCGGCTCTGGCAGC